CATTCATCATTTCAGCGGGATGGAGGGGGAGTGTTGCTGAGGTACAGCAGAGTGCGGGCTGACAGGTGTCTGTGTTGACATTCCCGTTATTGTGGAATAAGGGGAATGCAGTGACTGACTACAAGTGTTTTAGGTTCAAGTTAGACAACTAATGTCTGGGTTAGTGCTCATGACTTCATGTTTATGTCATCTTAATGGTTAATCTCAATACACACACATTTTCCGTGCTTTCCAATAGTTTAAAATAGTTTTATTCCACTGTTTAATAACCTGTTCAATACAAACATGCCACTTGTAAAAATGAAATACAATTTCTGTGAACTGATATTTGTTTAGGGGATGTTCCCTTTGATTGTAAAATGTCAATGAAGATGTCAGACTTAGTAGGCCTATATTTGCTAATAATTACATACAACACATGGAATTTTTGTGTGTGTGTGTGTGTTCCAAGTGAATCTGCGGCCCCCTGGTGGCCAGTACATCAATGATGTGGCCCCCACCACCATCAAAGTTGCCCATCCCTGCACAGAAGCAAATTGCGCATCTGCTGGGTATTTTTTATTGGCTGTGGATTTTTTTGCATTACTAAAAATGTTGTGTGCTAGGTATCGGACCACAATAAACTACAGTTAAATTTCCATGTTGATTACAAGTAAGGCTTGGAATTGAAGAACCTAAATATCACATAAAAAATAAATCTAAAGACGTACATTTTTTGAAATGATGAATTACTAAAGTTAAGCTACTAAGATTTTCACACAGTATAACACCTAAGCTACAAATGATCCAATTCGTTAGTGTTGTGTAATTATATACTGTACATTATCTACACAAATTGGACCATTTTGGAGAAAGCTGCAATGATAAAAAAAACATGTGTTATTCCTTACTCATATCAAAGTTCACTTGTTGCAGCTTCTCATAAATTGAAAATAAAAATATTTAAATTGTTTCATTATTGTCTGACATTTTAAAGACCAAATAATAATGAAATGTATCTAGAATAAATCTATTATAATGAAGAATTATTAGTTGGAGCCCTAATTGTTATAATAATGACTATGAATGTTAGATGTAATGCCTTTAAAACACTAACAAAGAAGAAAGAAGTGAAATACACAACAACACTTTTTGCATGAAGAGAGTAGAGAGGATTCACAGCTCAAATATGAGCGCTGAGGGGTCAGTCGTACCTTCACCAGTGTGCGGTAGCCATTCCCCGGCGTCTGTGCGTCAAAGTCATAATGGTGGAAGACGGCGGTGAAGCTGCCGACCACCGGCTTCAGGGCCTGTCCGTGCTCCTGAATCTCTTTCAAACACGTCACCAGGCGCTTGGCAACAGCGCCGTACGGCAAATCAGATCCACACAGAAAAGCAATGTTGTCTTCACATACCGTCTCCAAGGATGCAAACACAATCTTGTAATCCATATCTGAGGCTGTAAGAGAAGGACAGACAAGAGAATAAATACTTCTGTGGCTCTCAATGCGGCAGACATGTGATGTGAAGACCGAAGGGCAAACACACAGATCCTCATGACCTCATCCATTGCAGCAAAGCTCATTGCTCTGGAGATAATAGTCTTGTTATCTGTTTATTAAGGGGTTGAAGTTCTATAAAGCCTGAAGATAGTACTTTGGAACAAGGTCAGGCAAGACTAGCTGGAGGAACTACAGGATTCAACTTTTTTCAGTTCTACAAACATACTTGAAAACATGTCAACAAAAATAACAACATTGAACAAACACTGATAAGAAATGTCATGTCATTTTGTCCTTCTATGTTAATCCAAAACAATATGGCGTTTTATTTTGATTTGGTTTGTCAGCTTTACCAATTGCTCTTGCTCTTTCTGTGGAGGCTCCTTTTTCGCAATTCTTATTTGATGTCCAAACCTCTACATCAAGAAGCCTGCCATCTTTATAGATAATTTACATAGTCTGATCATAAATAAACTTAATTAAATATAATTTGTCCTTCTTTGTAGTATTCATGTTGTCTCTAAATGACAACTTATCATACACAAACGGACTACATATTTGGGATGACATTAGTGCATGTTATCAAGCTACATTAAAGCCATCACGTAAATGTGAAGAGATAATGTGCAGCGCAATGCACATTTTATGAAAAGCAAAAGGTCTCTATTGTGCTGCTGTCTGGCTAGGCTGTAATCAGAATACTAAACACCAAATAAATAGTATAATTTCCAAAAATGTTCCGTTAATTTAATAGTTTGTCTCACTATGTGTTTATCTAAATGTCGTCTCCACACAGCTAGAAGTATAATTATGTTCTCTTGATTACATTTCCATCAACTTCTTGCCCTGAAAACAGTAACATTTAAAAATACAGGATATGAAGAATATTAAAGTCATGCTTAAAAGTCTGTTTAAATTTTAAAAAATGAAATCAAGTCCACGAGTTCCAGTTTTATTTTCAGTTTCTGAGGAATAGGTTATATCAGGCTTTGGCCTTAATTACACATTAAAAGAGTAACATAACATAATAGACTTAACAGTGAGTAAGAATATTGTTGTCTTTTTAATACTTTAATACGAGTTTTGAGCTTTCTGTTTTGCATAACTCAGTAGGCTACTTGACTCCTTTTGTTCCCATCCTGAATCTCACCATTTGCCCTACATAAAAAAACACGGTTGTCCTTCAGCAAACCCTTCAAAGCTCAGAGACGTTTAACCAAAAACAGCTGATGGTGACGTAAACTGTCAACAGGCTCTCCTCTGTTACTGTCCGACACAGGGATCGGTTTCCAGCTCCAAAGATATCAGCTTCTCATGCTGGTAAAACGCTTCACTTTAGGAGCATTTTCAGGCTTCTTTCGCTAGCTTCTCTACATTCCTTTACACAAACGTCACTGTTTGATCCTTCACTATTTTAGCAAGTTACCGAGCCCATGTTAGCTACAGCCGGTGACACATATCTTCACCAACACAAGTTGGACGAGTTCAAACAGTCGTACACTTTGTTGCTCTACCTTTTTACAGCCGTGTAAAAACGATAAAATACAACAACATAGCTTCATGTTTGTTTCCTAACATCTAGCGCCACCACAAACCGCCATGAATGTGCGTAACACGACTTATATATGTATGTTTGTGCGTTGTTTTTGATCGACTTCACTCACCGACGCGCATCCTCCTCTTCCTTGATGTTTCTGACAGAGACCCGCAGAATGCTGGGTAACGTCATGTGAGCAGAGCTCAAGGCTATGGAAGGCCAAAAGTGCCATAATTCGCCCGTTTATTTCGGCCGTTTTTTTGTAAAAACGGCCGAATATTCAGGCGAATATTCGGACCTCCGCGAACATACACGCGCGAATATGGAAAGCCATTTGCGCCATTATTCGCGCGAATTAACGGGGGGGGGAGGTCCGTTTAAGTTCAAAGTTTCAGTAACCAATCAGTGAAGAGCAAAGTCAGACCAAAGCAATCTGTAGATGAAAAGTTCCTGACATTGTGAGGCTGTAAATTGTACGTTATTCCAGATTTAGGGGACTATGTATTAATTTGCCTTTCAATATAATAAATATATCAATCAATATAACCTGCCTCCATTGTCTTTTAAAATAAAATCGCCTTACCCTTTTCCTTAACCCTCTGGAGTGTGAAGTGAAGGGTATTTTCTCAATTTGTAGATGTCTCCTTAAATCACCTTTTAAATGTACTTCTTATAACATGGCATGGTGTTACATATCAAAATGTTCAGTCTCTGGTCTTGCTAGAAATGCAATGTCACTCACCTTAGAGCACTGTCTTATGAGACACTTAGCTTAGAAATCCGATTTTTGGAAAACTTAAAAACTCTTGTGAAAAACATGTACTCATGTGATCCATTTTTTTTGGTGTTTCAGATTTGGTTTACCAAAGTCTTTGGTTCACAAAAGTAGTGAAATATATGAATTACGCTATGGGCCTATATAAATGTGTTGTTCATGTCTAAAATGAAAATGTGTAAATTAGAATTTGGAGTAAAATAGTTCTATCACTCTTCTTTCAGCACAGAAAAGTTACATCAGGACTGATTCATGACTTCATATTCCCTACTGAGGTTCATGTGATGTGTACAAATACAAATTGAGCATTACAACTTTTTTTTACAACCAACTATTTATGTTAACATAAGAAACTGTAAAATCTCAATATCTACAATACAGGGTTCATACACTTTTTCACCAATGATTTTCAATGACTTTTCCATGACCTACCTCATTTTCCATGACCAAAAAAAATGACTCTTTCATGTGGCTAGCATGCGCTGCCTCGCCC